GCTTATGCTCCACATCACATGCGCTACAGCATGATATGGATGAGGAATCTTGTTTTTGTAAAGCATTGTACACCCTAATGCTCTAAACAGAACAAAACTCAAGAAAGTGAAACATTCTGCCATAAATCCAGCATTGCACCAATCACTGCCAGAGATCTCTCATTCATCCCCGCCTCTCTTGCTAGAGGCCCTGAAGCTCCTTAACACCTGCTCCTGTATGCTTCCCAGCTCATTGGAGCATGTTCTGAGGACATACAGAGGGCTAAGGGGAGGGGGATTGCCTCTACCCAATTCTGATAGCAGAGCAGAAGTACACCTTTGGATTCTGGCCTTTTTCTAACATATACAGAAACCATGGGCCTAAAATCAAAATATATGGAATTGTGAAACGTTGCTTAAATGTATGAATTAAGGCATATATTGGCTTTTAGAATTGATGCAGCCTTCCTGTCTTCTGTTCCGATATGATTTCAAATAAGAAAGGACAACTTCCCCTTTGATGACTCTCCAAGGTATAGGAAATTCAGGGAGTCATATGCCCAGGTAAGCTTTTTTTCTGAGCTTCCCAACCTGACGTTCTCCAGACAAACTGGACCAGAACTCCATCGCTGGTCATGGTTGGTGAGGGTAGTGAAAATTCTATTCTAACACATCAGGACTGCAGCAAGTCAAAGAAGGCTCAGACAGCTGTTAGCTCTTCTAGTTCCTTGATTCAGCCATCCTAACCCTTTCCATACTGCATCTTACTCTATTAACCCACCCTATCTGTTTCCTTATTTTAATAGCACGTGATGCGAAAAGTATAATCAAAGGTGTTAGCTACTGATTTTAAAGAATGACGGGAACATTGTACTTACAAGAACTTGTACATAATTCATTGTGGAAAGGAAGTTAAGGTTCCCCTTGACAATTTTTTGTCCAGTCGTGTTCGACTCTAGGGGGTGGTGCTCATCCCAGTTTTCCAAGCCATAGAGCCAGTGTTTGTCCGAAGACAATCTTCCGTGGTCACATGGCCAGTGCGACTTAGACACGGTTGTACTGAGATTAACTGAAGCCTATACTACAATATGGACTTAATTGCAATCAGTCCATTTTCCAATGAAATTGGTCCCAACTAGAGAAGGTTCATTGAACCAACTGTTGACTAATGAGTCAATACATATATAAATCCTACTGATTTATTCTAGCATGAGCTACCAAAAGGATTTGTGACCCTATGTTCATATACATTTGATCATCAAAAATACTGTGTATTTTATTCTGTAGGTGACAGCACAGAATTGCTGTGACAATTAAACAAGGCATACTTGTATTTCTAAAAACAAACAAAACAACTGGCAAAGCAGAACTCACTACAAAGTTAAAATGTTATCCTCAAGAGATTCTAGAACATATTATCTTGGCTTAATTGTACAAAAATGAATTAAATGTAGTATTCAAAACAGTCCTAGTGATGAATACCTTGAGGCAAGGTCTAAGAAACAATCTTGCTGCCTACTACAGTTTTCATTAAAGACAGCTTTCAGTTATTTATAACCAAATTAATTGCATTAAGCGACCCAAACGATGAGTTTAATTCATTGTCACAAAGCAGATCTTTGCCTCTTTTTCACCCTAAAGGTCTGCATTAAATCTTCTTTTGTGCACAGCCATTTCTATAGATGAATTAAAGCAATGGCCGTGTGATCATGAGAGAGAGAGAGAGAGAGAGAGAGAGAGATCAAAGCAATTAATCAACGCCATGTAGATATAAAATGACTGATGTCCTTTCAACAGCTCTACTGCTCTCAGTGCTGCAGAGAACGCTTCCTGAGACTAAGCTGCATCAACCTCTACTCAATAAGATGCAAAGCAAAGCAGAAGTCAAGCCATAGTTTGATCAAGACTGAATTCATTATCATTTTTACTGCAGCATTGTCAACCGTCTTTCAAAGCAAATGAAGTTTCTTTTGCCTAGTTAAAAAAGTCCAGTGAAGAGGCAAAACAGCACAGGCTGTTGAGGGGGAAGCGAGAGAATGGGGACGTGCTAAGCAAGTGTTCATAATTGGGCATCAGAGCAGATACGAAGTTTGTATTCATTGGGTCGGGTCAAACGGAGGTATTATAACAGATAAAATATTTCCTGATCACATCGTCTAAACAGCCTATCAGAGAAAACTCTCCTTGCTGCAGTTGCTTTTCAGCAGTTTTTATTTTATGCCTTCCAGCTCATGCTCAGTTGTTTCTCTTTAGAAATTTTCCACTCAAAGCTATCACCATCACCACCTGAAAGTTACAGAGCTGGAAGGGACCCTATGGATCATGAAAGTACAGTATAACTGATTAGTCACGGTAGACTCGCTTTGCACATATACCGTGTGCTAGTAACTCTGCTTTCAAAGGCAATCACATTTTGTTTCATTACTAAAATTCACTCTGTGTTCAGTTTTGCTACCTCCAGCCAGCAAACAGAAGCTGGGCTGAAGGTTTATCCTTTCCCAACACTGTTTTCATGGCAAATAAAAACAGGATGTTAATTCTTAGTGGAGGGCAGATTTTGCCTCTCAAAACATCTGCTCATTTACTGGGCCTCTTGCTTAAACTGAAATGCAATGTGCACCTGCAGTGAAAATTCCAGGGAAGGACTCAGAACTAAAACACTGTCAATAGTGTCTACACACTCTAAAGAGAACACACTTTAACTATTGTCTGTTATTCTTGTCACTGCTCAAAAAGGATACTGTAAAGCTGAAAATGGTGATGAAAGTGGCAACCAAAAAGTTGAAGGAACAGCAGCCATTTTCTTATGAAGAAATGTAATTTTTAGGATTGTTAAGTTAGAAAATTAGGTGGGCCATGATGGAACCATACCAAATTATGCATGGGGTGGTAAACATGTTCCTGGAGATATTTCTCCTTTCTTCTCAGAATACTATAGCTTGGGATCATCAAATAAAGCTTGATGATTGGGGGAGGGAACAACAAACCATATAGGACAGGAGCAAGTGATAGCCATCAACCTTGGATGGTTTTAAAAAGAGATTATGCAACTTATTCATAGACACTATGGCTATCAATGGCTACTTGTCATAATAATTATATTTCATGTCCAATATAACAGCTAGTGCATCACTGCGTACCAGTTGCTGAGGAGCACAACCTAGGAGGTGCTACTGCATTCATCTTTGGTGTACAGGGGATTTCCCAGCCACTGTCTTCATTCTAGTACATGTTCTTATGACTACAGGGAACAAGAGTGAATGAGTAGTACAGTGGTGCCTCACTTAACGACGATAATCCGTTCCAGGAAAATCGCCGTTAAGCGAAAACATCATAAAACAAAATTAAAAACCCCACTGAAATGCACTGAAACCCGTTCAATGCATTCCAATGGGGTAAAAACTCACCATCCAGCGAAGATCCTCCATACGGCGGCCATTTTCGCTGCCTGTATAGTGAGGATTCCGTCCCTAAACACAGCAGGGAGCCATTTTAAGCACCCGGTGGCCATTTTGAAACCCCGACGATCAGCTGTTTTGACTATTCGTAATGCGAAGAATCGGTTCCCGAAGCTTGGAACCTATCTTTGCAAAGTGAAAAGACCCCATTTAGACCTTCGTTTTCTAATCGCAATTGCGATCGCAAAAAGATTGTTGTACAGCGATTTCGTCGTAATACGGGGCAATCGTTAAGCAA